ATATATATATTTCTTATATATATATTATATATATTTCTTATATATATATATATATTTCTATACCCTTTTAATTATCTCCCCTTGTAATGAAACAGTCTTTGCTCATCCCTTTGAAATAGGGTCTTGATATATTGTCTAAGCCTGTGTCAAACTAATGGGCCCAATTGGCCCTCCTGGCCTGACTCCTGGCAGCTTGTTTTTTTGGTTTTTCATTAGAACATTTATATTTATTATACTTAGTAACATTTGGATTTATTTTTAGCTATTCTTTGTGCTTCATTGTATGGGAGGGTAGTGGGATTAAACCCACATGCTAGGCAAGTGTTTTACCACTAAACAATATCAACAGCTCTTTTTTCTTCTGTCCTTTGCTAACCTTTTCATGTCTGTGCATATGTGGATGAGCTTTCGTGTGTGTGTGTGTGTGTGTGTGTGTGTGTGTGTGTGTATGTGTTGTCTTCCTTGTCTTCCTCTATTGCTCTCTACGTATTTTTTAAAAATTTACTTATTTAATTTGTGTGTTTTGCCTGTATGTATGTATGTGTACCACATATGTACATAATGGGTCCCCTGGAACTGGAGTTACAGACAGTTGTGAGCTGCCTTGTGGGTGCTGGGACCCAGGTCCTCTGCAAGAGCAGCCAGTGCTCTTAACTATGGAGCCATCTCTCCAGCCTCTCTACTTTACTGTGTGAGACAGGTTTCTCACTGAACGTGGAGTTCACTTTTGGGGCTACAGTGAATGGCCAGTGAGCCCCAGGGGTCAACCTCTCTCCACAAGGTGCTGGGTTAGGGATGTGAGACACCACACCCAGCTGTGTGGGTGCTAAGGGTGCTAAGGTCAGGTCCTCATGTTTGCACTGAGCCACATCTTCTTACCTTCTTTTTGTAATCTTTCCCCTTGTTTCATACTTTTCTCTCTACTAGTTTGGAAGGAAATTATCTATTCTTTGTTTTTTTGAAATTGCAATACATATACTTTTTTTTTTTTTTTTTCGTTTTTCGAGACAGGGTTTCTCTGTGTAGCTTTGCGCCTTTCCTGGAACTCACTTGGTAGCCCAGGCTGGCCTTGAACTCACAGAGATCCGCCTGG